CTCAATTTCTTCATTCAAGCAAGACTCAAATGCTATCTGCCTACTAACTGCTGGGCCCCAGGGTCTTAAAGATAGATTACAGTCTTACCACTGAGTGACATTTTTAAGGGCAGACATATAGGAACTCAACAGTTATACAATACTAATATAGACATTTGTCAGGTATTGTTGGAAGCCACACAGACTCTCTGCAAAACCATGCTTCTGTTTAAGAGAGAGAGAGAGAAACAGAGTAAGGTGGGGGAGGAAGGGAGAGAGAGAGAAACAGAGTAAGGTGGGGGAGGAAGGGAGAGAGAGAGAAACCTGTGTTGTTAATGTTTCTGAGGAGGCAGTGTCTCTTAGTGATTAAGGACACTCATTAGAAAGCTAGACACTTGGGTTGAAGCCCCATCTCTGCCATAGAGAGCTCATGTGGTGTTGTTTAAATACATAGCTCCATCTTCTCAAACTCCTCCCCAGAGATTATGAGCACACGTATCCTACAGAGATCTATGAGAATTAGATGAGAAAATGTTTTAAAAGAGCTTAGTTTAACACCTAGCATATTCTTTGCATCCAAGAAATGCTAACTATAATTATTATTTAGGATGACTATTTGCCTTTTCTGGATGTCAGCAACAACCTATTACTTAATGTGACAGAATAATATTTCAAAGTGTTAACTGAAGGACTACTTATTACCTCCAAGTATAGCTGCTGACCATCCATCTTTGGCAGCCAAATGGATGAACACCTATTGCATAAGAGAGATTCCACAGCTGAGAAAAAGGTGACATCCTTAACCTCCAAATGGACAAACAAGCAAAAAACAAACACAAAAAAATTTTCTTCCTACCCCAAGACTCTACAAAGGTCCTTTGAGCTACAGATGGACAAAAGAATGTAGATTAGAAAAGACACCCTACCTGGGTGACATATTCTGTCATCTTTCCCAGAATAAATCCTAATGATGGAGAGAGAAAACTGCCTCACAATGGCTTTTAATTTGGGAACCTGATAACAGAGAGGATTGGACCCCTGTCTATTCTGTTTCAAACTCTAGTCATTGGTAGTCATATAGAGTTGGGAGTAAGGGATTAGGGAAGAGTGATTCTGTATCTCCTGTGGTCCTCCTAAAGATGAGAGACAACAATCAACCCTATAGGAAAGACCTAGAAGGACTGAAGTTGGGCTAAAATATCTGAATAAGCCTGAATAAAGGATATGGAGGGTGGAGAATAACCTGAGGACCTGATGATCAAAGCTAGGGTAAAATCTTGGACATCTCAGAGAGCAGAGCAGCTAAAAGTCAATGCCCATAAGCCACGAAGGTCAAGTGCCAGCATAGAAAGGGTGGCACACTCAAGACTCCCACAAGACAAATCACATATTTAAAAACTCTAGGAAAGGACCAAGATCTGGATTTGGCTCCCCAGTGGTATGGCAGAAATTGTCTAGGCCTGAGGCATTTAAAATCAGGACCGAATTAGGGGGAAAAAGAAAATCTCAAGATGGCTCTTACGATCTTCTAAATGGTACTGAGTTAAAGCCCAGAAGTAGCTTAATGAAAATCTCTAGACTGGACTGAAAAAATCCTCAAAAAAAAAAAAAAACTGAATTAACTCTTCTTTCAGAGGGGGCGATGAGTTAAAAAAATCAAAGAGTTTTGTAGAAATAACATTAATTTTTGCACATTTGAGATCGTCACTTCAGGTTTATAACCTATCAGCATTTGCCTTTCTCATTCTCTCCAGCTGAATATGGGCAATTTCACTGAATTAATCACACTTGTGACAACTGTGTTTAGAAGAGCTTGAGTTGCATTTTTTATTAAGTATATTCTATTACTGGAGCTATGAATACTGAGCTACTGAAAAGATTAGATACAGGGTTATGTGATTTAATATATAGTTCTTGCTTAGGGAAGTATGACAAGTTGAATCTGCTAAATTAATTGCCATTTGCTCAGGTGGTATTCCTCAGATGGGGGTGACTATGAAGAAAATAGAAATGGAGAATGAAGAGTTGAGAATAACAATTCTTCATGTGTTGACTTGGGATCTGGGAGACAGCTTCTGGAAATAAAAGTGGTTAGTGTCAAGCAAGAACTGGCAGAATTTGTCTGTAGAGGACCAGATAGTAAATATTTTAGGCTTTGTGAGCCGTAAGGTCTTTGTTGCAACTACTTTACTTCAATGTTAGAGCATGAAAACGGCCATATACAACACATAAAGGAGCATGGCCAGGTTCCCATAAAATTTGATTTACAAAAAACAGCAGCTGGATTTGGCCCACGGGGCCATAGTTTCTCAACCTCTTGTCTAGCTCATCTGAACTAAAGAAGATTTGTCTGTTCATTAGACATAACACCTGGTGCTCAAAATTTGGGCATGCAAATATACTTGCCTGCTGACAATGTGGCACAGATGGGTAACAGTGGCATTGTTGGTTTTGTTTTCTGGGCTACTTGGGGTCTGTTTTTCTTGACATCCTTTGGTTCACATGCTTTTTCTTGAGCTTGACTCTGGCTCTGTGGGAAAAGAGTGTGGTCTAAATTTAACCAATGGTCATCCTAATCCCTCTAGCCACAGTGACTGGTGCAGAGATAGGAAGTGGTCCCAACTTGTCCAATCAGTATAAGGTGTGCATCATGTTCAACCAGGAAGAATCTCCCAGCAGTAGACCCAGAGACAAAGATTTCAGTATAAATGGTTTATTTGAGAAGTGATTCCAGGGAATGTGTTAGAGAAGGAAGAAGAAAAGGCATCCAATAAAGCATGTGTTACAATAAAGTAAGTTACAACTGAGGGGACTGGAGCTTAATCCTTCTGCGGAACTCTGGGAGCCCATGTTGAACAGAAGCCTCAAAGTTAGCCTGACACAGGAGTGGAAACTAACTCCTGTCAGTCATTTGTAGAGTGCTGCTCCTACATGTGTTAATTCCCTGATACTTCTGGTCTTCCTGAGCATTAGCAGAGTAAATGTTTTAGCCACTGAAGGATGACTTCAGGCAAAGAGATACAGATGCTAGGTTTGGAGAGTCAGGGCCCACCACACTAAAAAGAGATCAAAAGGGGATGTGGGTGCTACAGCATTTAATATATTGAATTTGGTTAGTCTCCCTATTGGAGCTCTGAAGAAACTGGCTTATTTGACTCAAGTTGAGCCTCTGACTTATATTGTGACTAAAGTAATCCCACAGACATTTTAACTACATGGGCCAAGAAATTTTCTTTTTATTTAAGCCAGTTTCAGTCAAGTTTCCTACCCTACAGATCAACAAAGACTAAATAAAGCACATAGGAAATCGGAATTTATTTTCTACTGGTATTGATTCATCATACAATCTGATAAATATTTTAGAATCTATGAAATATATATATATAGGCACTTATGTGTAAAATGTATTTGATCTACATCTATATCATCCGTAGCTATGTCTACACCTATATCTATATATAGGTGTGTAGAAAGAGGTACAAAAATATGTTTGTTCTTAATTGTGCACAGATAGTTAATTAAGAATATGAAGGAGGGTCTCCGAAAAAAGTCATCAGATCTCCCACAATCTTTCCATTCATCCACAACATGCAAGCCATGAATATTTGCTTTGGTGAAGCAAAACAATTGTGCATTGCCTGGCAGACTCTAGGAGCTGTTTAATAAAGAAGACAAATGTCTATTTCTCATGAGAACTTATTTTTTGTCCACAATCTCTGTGCTTGAGGTTTATCTCTTTTTTTCATTCTTTCCACTCCTATTTGCTAAAAGGAATTAAAGGATTAGAATTGAGATGGTCTGGACAAATAGAAGGGGATCAGAAGATAATAAGACCAGGAAAATCAAATGTAGTCATTTCAGAGAAAGTCAGAGTTGAGGGAGTGAGAAGAGTGCCACATGCTTATAAGAATGGGAGAAATGTCAACAAAAAAAAAGATTAAAAGAAAACATTTAATGCCTAAAGCATATGTTCCCCCCTTTTTTGTCCTCTCCAGAAGTAAAACATATTTCTATTATATTTCTGATCAGAAGGCTATTTCAATCAATGCCATTCTATGCTGTTACATGTTTATATGGGCTAGATAAGCACCTGAAACCCTTGTGAATCTTGGATCCATGTAGTTCAGTCTATTTAAGACTTATTCAAGAGACACAGTTCAATAGTCTAGAAATCAATTAAGATTAATTCCTTGCATTCATTCAAAATTTCCTTTGAATATTTTCTTTGCCAGCCACTATTCTAGACACCAGTGATTCAATAACGAACAAACAAAACAAAAGCACAACTTCACAGTTCACCTTGAGTGGGGAAGCACAGATAATAAACAGAATACATAAAAGGTGTGATAACTATGATAGTGATCGTTGATATGGAGGAAAACAGCAGGGAAGACTACTTGGGAGAGGGAGCTTCTTTGAGACGGTGACTTTTGACCAAGAACCTGAAGGAGGTAAGGGACTGTCATGTATAAGGAAAGAACATGTCTGGCGGGACAGTAAGTACTCATATGCCTATGGATCATAGTTTACAAACTCCTGGACCAAAGGAATGAACAGGAAATAATAAGACCTGAAGATGCAGGGCCTTATACATCATTGAAACCACCTTGGTTTGGTTTGGTTTTGAAGACAGGGTCTCACTTTGTCACCCAGGCTGGAATGCAGTGTCATGGTTGTAACCGAGAAAGTCAGAAGGAAAGCACCATGCTCTGAGTTACAAATTAAGAGTCCTTTATTTACCAGTGACTGAGAGACACCTAATGTTCAAAATTCTCTCGGCTCCGAAGAAGGGGCTTGATTGGTTTTTATACCTTGAATTAGGTGGGGGACGAGGTACCTAGCTGAAGTGGAATTTTACAGAAGCAGAATGAGCAGGTTAAAGGGACGTGGTTGCAGACCAGGGTATTTTCCAAACAATCACCAAGAGGGGGGTCCAAGGAGTGTTAAACACAATAGCAGGTGTGTTTGCCAAGCAGGATGTAGTTACAATGGTTATATGGTAGGATAAACACAGAGTCAGCATGACAGAAGCACAGCGTCAGTGTGGGGCCCAGTTATGCACCCGAGGGAGACATGGCAAGGAGGGAGAGGCAAAAATGGAGTTTACAGATAAGATGGAGTCAGTTAGGCTAGCACAAGCTAGGTTATTACAGCACAATCATAGCTCACTACAGCCACAGCCTCTTAGGCTCAACCGATCCTCCCATCTCAGCCTCCTGAGTAACTGTGTTCACAGGTACATACCCAGCTAATTTTTTTTTTTTGGCAGAGACAGAGTCTCACTATGTTGCCCAGGCTCCTGGGCTCAAGCGATCCTCCAGCCTTGGATGCCTAAAGTGCTGGGATTACAGGCAAGAGCCATCATGCCCAATGACTTTAGATTTTACTTTGTGTACTAGCCTGGATTCTCCAGAGAAAAGCAACCAGCAGGGTGTGTGTGTGTGTGTGTGTGTGTGTGTGTGTGTGTGTGTGTAGAATAAGAAATTGGCTCACATGGTTGGATTTGACAAGTCCAGAAATCTGCAGTCAGCAAGCCAGAGAACCAGAATAGTTCACCATGTAGTTAGTCCAAGTGCTGAGAACCAGAAAAGCTCCAGTCCAAAAGCCAAAAGCCAGGAAGAGTTGATGTTTCAGTTCAAGCTTTAAGCCAGGAAACCACAAAAGTCCCAGCTCAAAGGTAATCAGACAGGAAGAATTATCTCTTCTTTCTGGGAGGGTTAGCCTTTTTGGCCTATTCATGCCTTCAAAATGGATTGGCTGAGGCCCACCCACATTAGCAAGGGCAATCTACTTTACTCAATCTACTGATTTAAAGGTTAAACCTAGCCAAAAATATCCTCACAGACACATCTAGTGTAATGTTTGATCAAATATCTAGGTACCCCATGAGCCAGTCAAGGTGATACATAATTATTTTTTCATCAACAAGTGAATATTGTTTATATTTGTGGTGTACAGCATGATGTTTTGATATATGCATACATTGTTGAATAGCTACATCAAGCTATTTAACATATGCATTTCCTCACATACCTCTCATTTTTGATGTTAGATATGTGGTTATAAGTATGTAAATTAGCAGTGAGAAAACTTAACATGTACTCTCTTAGCAGTTTTTAAGTATACAAAATGTTGTTATTAATTGTAGTCACCATGATGTACAATAGATCTCTTGAACTTATTCCTTCTAACCGAAACTCTGTGTCCTTTGGCCAACATCTCCCCAATTTCCCCACCTCCCAGCTTCTGATGACCAGCATTGTACTCTGTTTCAATGAGTTTGACTTTTTTAGATTCCACATATAATTGAGGTAATGAGTATTTGTCTTTTTGTGCCTAGCTTATTTCACTTAACATAATTTCCTCCAGGTTCATCCACGTTGTCTCAAATGACAGGATTTCTTTCTTGTTGAAGGCTGAATAGTACTCTGTTTTGTGTGTATGTCATGTGTTGTGCATCCATTCATCCACTGATGGACAATTGATTTCCTATTGTGTTGGGTCATTTTTGCAGTTATAAAGAAATACCTGAGGCTGGGTAATTTATCAAGAAAAGAGGCTCACAGTTCTGTAGGCTGTACAAGCATAGCAATAACATCTGCTCGGCTTCTGATGAGGGCCTGATAGAGTTTACAATCCTGGCAGACGGTAAAGTGGGAGCAGGCACATCACAGGGCAAAAGACAGAGCAAGAGAGAAGGAGGAGGTCCTAGACTTTCAAACTGCCAGCTCTCATGTGAACTAACTGAGCGAGAACTCACTGATTGCCATGGGGGTGGTGCTAAATCATTCATGAGAGAATCGTCCCATGATCCAGTCACCTCCCATGAAGCCCCACCTTCAACATTGAAAATCACATTTCAGCATAAGACTTGGAGGGGACAAACATCCAAACAGTCTCACCTATCTTGGCTATTGTGAATAATACTGTAGTGACCATTGGAGTTCAGATATCAACTTGACACACTAATTTCATATACCTTGGATATATTTCCAGTAGCATGGCTGAATTCTATAATAGTTCTATTTTTAATTTTTGAGGATCCTCCATATGTTTTTTTATAATAGCTGAAAGAATTTGCATTCCCACTCACAGTGTAAAAGTTTCCCTTCTCCCCAACCTCACCAACACTTGTCATCTTTCATGATTTTTTTATGATAGCTATTCTAACAAGTATGAGTTGACATCTCATTCTTTTAATTTGCACTTCTCTGATGATTAGTGATATCACTCATTTTTTAAATATACCTGTTTGCCAGTTATGTCTCTGGAAAAAGGTTTGTTCAGACCCTTCACCTATTTTTAATAGGCTGATTTGTTTTCTTACTATTGAGTTGTTTGAGTTTCTTATATAATTTGGATATCATAAAACCTGAAGGAGTCATATCTACAAGGATGATGCCCATTTGAATGAAACCTGCGACTCTCATAATAACTGTAGCGATATTAGAGTACTATGCGGGAAGAGAGAATCCCAAGAGTAGAAAAGAGGCTAGGAAGCAAAATTGTTATAGAAGTGAGCCTAGGAGGGCAGCGTGGCTGAATAGAAACAGCTGCAATCAGTGGCTCCCACCAAGAAGAGCTCCCACTAGTCAGTCTCACTGGAACTGACTAGCAGTTGGCACAACCTACAGAAAGCCAAGGAAAAACATGCTTCCTTTCTGGACGGATCTTTGTTCCATATTTGGCTCAAACAAGGATCTAATTATTCTAGAAATCAATAATAGTTTTCTTAGTGCCTCACTGTTAAGGATCCTGTGTGAACAAATAGCTTCTGACACCTGTCATCTCCAGAGAGTGGTGATCAAAAACATTTCCCCAGCTGATGCTTATCAGAACCTCTGCCTAGCTCTTCAAGGTCACAAGACTGTAACACATCTAAGACTTCGAGGCAGTGCCCAGAATGATATGCTTCTGGCACTGTGTGAGGTCCTGAGGCACCCAAAATGTAACCTGCAGTATCTCGGGTTGGTGTCTTGTTCTGCTACCACTCAGCAGCGGGCTGATCTCTCCTTGGCCCTTGAAGTCAACCAGTCCCTGACGTGCGTAAATCTCTCCAACAGTGAGCTCCTGGATGGGGGTGCCAAGTTGCTGTACGCAACTTTGAAACACCCAAAGTGCCTCCTGCAGAGGTTGTCGTTGGAATACTGTCACCTTACAGAAGCCGATTGCAAGGACCTGGCTGCCGTTTTGGTTGTCAGCCGGGAGCTGATGCACCTGTGCTTGGCCGAGAACCCCCCCCTCAGGGATACAGGGGTGAAGTTTCTGTGTGAGGGCTTGAGTTACCCCGAGTGTAAACTACAGACCCTGGTGCTGTGGAACTGTGACATAACTAGCAAAGGCTGCTGTCACCTTGCAAAGCTTCTCCATGAAAAATCAAGCCTAATGAACTTGGATCTGGGGCAGAATGACATAGGAGTTCCTGGAGTGCAGGGCCTCTGTGAAGCTTTGAAGAAACCGCTTTGTAACTTGTAACGTCTGTGGTTGTGGGGATTGTTCCATCCCTCCGGCCAGTTGTCAGAACCTCTGCTGTGTCCTCAGCTGCAACCAGACCCTCATCACTCTGGACCTGGGCCAGAATTTCATGGAGTATAGTGGAGTAAAGTTGCTGTTTGAAATATTGACATGTCCAAATGGCACCCTCCAGACACTCAGATTGAAAGTAGATTACTTTAATGATGAACTCAATAACCTGCTCAAAGAAATAGAAGGCAGCAACCCACAACTGACTGTTGATACTGAGAATCAAGAGCCCTGGAAAAAAAGGTCTTCTCGCTACATCACTATCTGAATCCCACCCCCAGAGTAATTCATTCTTAATGAAGCCAAGGATTTTCCAGGTGTTGGTGAACTGCCTGTGACTCCCCCCTCCACCCCACCCCTACTCCTCGGGGAAATGAGTTGATTGCTGGTCTAGGTGTTTTAGCCATGGTTCTGCCTCTATTTTATGTAGAACGTGCATATGTCCCTGACCTTGTTATGTATGAAATATCTGTATCATGGGTATATGGAGAGAAATAAAGGTGAGAGCATTCACAAAAAAAGAAAAAGGAAAAACAAGGTGGAGCAAAGGCCACCCAGGGGCCATATGGCACAAGGAGAACTCCCACCCCCAGCCAAGGGAGGTGGTGAGTGATTGTGCTACCCCACCCAGGAAACCATGCTTTTTCCTCAGATCTGGGCAACCCATGGATCATATCCCCTCATAAGCCCATGCCACTGGGGCCTTGGGTCCCAAGCACAGAGCTGTGCAAATTCTAGGTGACCACTTGGCTGGAGACTGCCTAAGACTACCAAGTTCCTGAGGGTAGAGGCAGCCACGATTACCGTGGCTCCAGTAAGTATGCAGTTTTCCCTGGCTGGTGCTAGAGAGACTGAGCAGTTTGGACCTAGGAGAAACTTCCCACAGCACAGCATAGTGACTGTGGCAGATTGTGGCCAGACTGCCTCTTTAAGCTGAACATGGACCCTCGTCACTGGGCAGGGCCTCCCTGTGGTAATTTTAGCAAGTCCAGCCAGGGGTTTACAAACAGACCTCTGCTTTCCCTGGTATGGAGTCTCTGGAGAAGGGGCACCCACAGCCTTCACAGATCAGTGGACTTAGTCTTTCCCCCTGATGAATCAGAGGAATCTTGGAAGTCTGGACCAGTTGGATTCCCCCAGAACAGTGCACCCCTTCTACCAAGGGGCAGCAAGAGTGCTTTGTTAAGCAGGTCCCTGACCCCATGCGTCCTGACTGGGTGAGACTCCACAACAGGGGTCACCAGAAACCTTTTACAGGAGCATTCCTGCTAGTACCAGGTCAATGTCCTTCTGGGATGGAGATCCCAGAGGAAGGATCAGGCAGCCATCTTTGCTATTCTGCAGCCTCTACTGATTCATGAACCATGAAGCTGAAAAACACAACACAAGGACTTCTTAAGGCAACCAAAAGTATTGATAGCTGAATAGACGAAGCAGAGGAAAGAATTTCAGAGCTTGAAGAATATATTTTTGAAATAAAATACACAGATGAGATTAGAGGAAAAAAATGAAAAAGAATGAACAAAATCTTTGAAAACTATGGGATTATGTAAAAAAGACTGAAGCTATGATGGATTGGAGAACCTGAAAGAGATGGGAAGAATGGAATCAAGTTGGAAAACATGCTTCAAGGTATTATCCAGAAGAACTCCAACCTAGTAAGGTAGGCCAACATTCAAATTCAAGAAATACAGAGAACCCCTCTAAGATACTCCATCAACCCGAAGACACATGATCATCAGATTCTCCAAGGTCAAAATGTAGGAAAAAAATGTTAAGAGAGGCCAGAGAGAAAGGAAAAGTCATCTACAAAGGGAAGCCAATCAGACTAACCATGGACATCTCAGCAAAAAAACCTACAAGCCAGAAGATGTTGGGGTCCAATATTCAACATTCTTACAGAAAAGAATTTCCAATCCAGAATTTCATATCTGGCCAAACTAAGCTTTATAAGTGAAGGAGAAATAAAATTCTTTTCATATAACCAAATGCTAAGGGAATTCATCATCACCAGGCCTGCCTTGTAAAAGGTCCCAAAGAAAGAACTAAATATGGAAAGGAAAAATCATTATCAGCCACCACAAAAACACACTGAAATATGAAGAACAATGACACTATGAAGCAACCACATCAAGTCTGCAAAATAATCAGCTAAAATCATGATGACAGAATCTGATTCATAAATAATAACATTAACCTTAAGTGAGAATAGGCTATATGCCCCCTATTAAAAGATACAGAATAGCAAGCTGGATAAAGAGTCAAGACTATTGGTGTGCTGAATTCAAGAGACCCATCTCACATGCAAAGACACACATAGCATCAAAAGAAAAGATGAAAGAAAATTTACCAAGCAAATGGAAAGCAGAAAAAAGCAAGAGTTGCAATCATTTTATGAGGCCAGCATCATCCTGGTACCAAACCTGAAAAGAAAAGAAAGAAAAAAAAGGAAAGGAAAGGAGGAAGGAAGAGAAAGAAGAAAGAAAGAAAGAAAGAAAGAAAGAAAGAAAGAAAGAAAGAAAGAAAGAAAGAAAGAAAGAGAGAGAGAGAGAGAGAGAGAGAGAGAGAGGGAGGGAGGGAGGGAGGGAGGGAGGGAGGGAGGGAGGGAAGGAGGGAGGAAGAGAGGAAGGAAGGAGGGAAGAAGAGGAAAACTTCAGGCCAAATTTTTGATGCACACTGATGAAAAAATTCTCAGTAAAATACTGGCAAACTGAATCCAGCAGCACATCGAAAAACTTATCTACCATGATCAAGTCAGCTTCATTCCTAGGATGCAAGGCTTGTTCAACATATGCAAATCAAGAAATATAATTCATCATATAAACGGAGCTAAAGACAACAACCACATGGTTATCTCAACAGATGCAGAGAAGGCTTTTGATAAAATTCAACACCTCTTCATGTTAAAAACTCTCAATAAACTATGTATTGATGGAACATACCTCAAAATAATGAGTCATTTATGACAAACCCACAACCAATATTATACTGAATGGGCAAAAGATAGAAGCATGCTGCTTGAAAACTGGCACAAGAAAAGGATGTCCTCTCTCATCATTCCCATTCAACATAGTATTGGAAGTTCTTGTTGTTTTCTTTTTTTTTTTTTTAATTGAGATGGAGTTTCGCTCTTGTTACCCAGGCTGGAGTGCAATGGCGCGTCCTCAGCTCACCGCAACCTCCACCTCCTGGGTTCAGGCAATTCTTCTGCCTCAGCCTCCTGAGTAGCTGGAATTATAGGCACACACCACCATGTCCAGTTAATTTTTGTATTTTTAGTAGAGACGGGGTTTCACCATGTTGACCAGGATGGTCTCAATCTCTTGACCTTGTGATCCACCTGCCTCAGCCTCCCAAAGTGCTGGGATTATAGGCGTGAGCCACCGCTCCCGGCTTCTGTTGTTTTCAATATAAAGTCTTTCTCTATTGCCCAGGCTGGAGTGCAATGTGCAATCTAGGCTCACTTCAATCTCTGCCCTCTATGTTTAAGCAATGGTCCTGCCTCAGCCTCCTGAGTAGCTGAGATTACAGGTGCATACTACCATGCCTGGCTAATTTTTTGTATTTTTAGTAGAAATGGGGTTTCACCATGTTGGTCAGATTGGTCTTGAATTCCTGACTTTGTGATCCTCCTGTGTTGGCCTCCCAAAGTGCTGGGATTACAGTGTCCAGGGCGATCAGGCAAGAGAAAAAAATAAAGGATATTCAAATAGAGAGGAAGTCAGACTGTCTTTGTTTGCAAATGATATAATCCTTTAGAAAACCCTGTCATCTCAGCCCCAAAGCTTCTTAATCTGATAAGCAAATTCAGCAAAGTCTCAGGATACAAAATCAATGTGCAAAATTGCAAGTACCCCCATACACCAACAATAGACAAGCAGAGAGCCAAATTATAAATTAACTCCCATTTACAATTGCTACAAAGAGAACAAAATACCAAGGAACACAGCTAACAAGAGAAGTGAAGGGTCTCTTCAAGGACAACTACAAACCACTGCTCAAGGAGATCAGAGAGAACATAAACAAATGGAAAAACATTCCATGCTTATGTATAGGAAGAATCAATATCATAAAAATGGCCATACTGCCCAAGGTAATTTATAGATTCTACACTATTCCCATTAAACTACCATTGACATTCTTTACAGAATTAGAAGAAACTACTGTAAAATTCATATGGAACCAAAAAGGAGCCCACATAGCCAAGACAAAACTAAGAAGAAAGAACAAAAGAAAAGGCATCAGCTACCCAACCTCAAACTATACTACAAGGCTGCAGTAACCAGAACAGCATGGTACTGACACAAAAGCAGACACATAGACCAATGTAACAGAGAACTCAGAAATATTCTGCACAGCTACAACCATCTGATATTTGACAAACCTGACAAAAGCAAGCAATACAGAGAGGATTTCCTATTTAATAAATGGTGCTGGAAAAACTGGCTAGCCTTAGGCAAAAAATTGAAAGTGGACATCTTCCTTATACCTCATACAAAAATTAAGTCAAGATGGATTAAAGATTTAAATTTAAAACCCAAAACTATAAAAACCCTAGAAGAAAATCTAGTCAATACCTTTCAGGACATGGGCACAGGCAAAGGTTTCCTGATGAAAATGTCAAAAGCAATTTTCACAAGCAAAATTTGACAAATGCAGTCTAATTAATTTAAAGAGCTTCATCACAGCAAAAGAAACTATCATCGGAATGAACAGACAAGCTACCAAGAGGGAGAAAATTTTTCCAATCTATCCATCTGACAAAAGTCTAGTATCCAGAATCTACACGAAACTTAAACAAATTTACAAGAAAAAAAAACCATCAGAAAGTGATAAAAGGACATGAATGGCCACTTATCAAAACAAGACATTTATGTGGCCAAGAAATGTATGAAAATGCTCAACAACACTGATTGTTAGAGAAATGTAAATCAAAACCACAAGGAGATACCACCTCATACCAGTCAAAATGGTGATTATGAAAAAGTCAAGAAACAACAGATGCTGGCAAGGCTATGGAGAAATGGAATGTTTTGACACTGTTGGTGGGAATGCAAATTACTTCAACCATTGTGGAAGACAGCGTCATGATTCCTCAAAGACCTAGAACCAGAAATACCATTTGACTGAGTATATTAGTCTTTTCTCACACTGCTGATAAAGACATACCCAAGACTGGTTAATTTATAAAGGAAAGAGGCTTAACTGAATCACACATGGCTGGGGAAGCCTCATAATCATGGTGGAAGGCAAGAAGGAGCAGTCATG